TGAGCTGAGGATGTGCCTTCATTCCCTCACGTAACTGAACTTGGGAAGCAGAGGAGCAGAGTTTACATTTCTCACTTTGAAGATGCTTTGGTTAGAGTTGAGGCCTCTCCTGTTCAGCTCTGGTCTCAGATAGGGGAAGCAGGACGGACTTGGGTGTAAGAAATAGGCTCCACAGAGATATGAATTAGCAGGCACGTACATGTTGATACTACCTTGGTTGGTGTAAAGGGCATCAGATCTTCCTGGCAAACTAAGGATGAAGACACCAATCTCTACTGGTTTTGAGGTCCATGTCCATAAAACCTAATTCAGTTTGTGAAGTACTCCTATCTGAGACTATACATGCTTTTCAGAATAATCCAACTGGACTTCCTCAAGATGTCAATAAAATAAAAGTATTTTTCTCTGATGGAATGAGGCATGTAAAAGGCAAGCTTAGAAGAATTTGTTGAAGAAGGTTGAGTGCAACCAAAAAGAAGGGCTAAAATAAAATTTCAGCGGTCTAACAACTTTAGCAATTTCTGCTTACAAAATAAACAGGAGCATGAAAATGGCTGCTTAATATTTACCCTTAGATTCCCTTACATTTCTGATTTGTTGATAGCCCTAGAAAACAGGGGTTATTTTTTTCCAGTTTCTAGATCTTCTGGGCTCTCATACTGTTTCTTCAGACTGAGCTGCTTTGCTTGTATTTAAACCAAACCAACCCAAACAAACCCAATGAACCAACCAAACAAAACCCTGTATCTGTGCTTATTATTCCCAAAGTTGTTGAAAAGATTTTTGTGGCTAATAGGAATTCCACGTTCAGGATATGAGCTAACATCAAAATAAGCAGAAATATTTTTCGAGAGCTTGTCACAAATGTTCTGTCGAGCCTTTGGAGACTCAAGATGGGTACTAAACTGATTTTGGGTGTTCAACCAAGTGTGGGCACCATACAGAGTTACTGCCAGTGGTGTTTATTTTAACGGCAATGAAGTCCTTTACTGCTCCATCTATTAAAACAGATCAGGGTCACAGAGCGGCTTTTAGACTGATCAGCTGTTGGGGGATTTTTTTTTTCTGGTAAAACTAAGATACACCACAGATAAACTGCAACGAGGCCAGTTACCTGACTAGAACTTAAGTTAATTTCTTCAGAAATTGCATGCAATTCATTTCCTTGTGTAAACGAGCAGGTTAAGCACCTCACTCTTGTATTCAGATGAAACTATACCCCTGCTAGGATAGGAGCCTTTCACTAATGGCCTGTGAATGACTTGAGGTTTCATGTTAGGTATTGAAGTTATAACTCCGTGTAAGTGCTTCCTTGGGTTTGTGCTCCTAAGGCTTTGTTGCCATTCTCTTGACGTCTCTAACTTTTTAGTGATGTGAAGGTGTGTAAATCAAGCTCGACGAAAAATGAGTTTCCCAGGTTTTGGCTTTTTTCCAAGGAGACGGTATGTACTGTTAAACCTGCCACAGCGGTACACTTCACTTTGAATACATAGGCTATTCAAAGCAAAAGTTTTCATACCTAGACCATACTCCTGAATTTGGCATACGAAGGGGGAAAGACCCACAAGGCCTCACCAGGTGACGTTTGTGCTTTGGCCTGCGTTGAAACGAGACACTGGGTAAGACTGTGTCAACAGGTTACATACAGTAAGGCATTGTTGCGCCTGGTAAAGATCTGCAATTGCAGCAGGAAGATTATTGACTGACCTTGAAGGGGTTGAGCTGCTCAACCTTCCCTAATTTCTGTGAAGCAGTTGTGAAGTTCCTTAGTTCATCATCCATCAAAGGCTGAGGGTGTTTTGTACTGAGCTTAATCTGTCCCAGAGATGCTCGGTTATGTGTTTCAAACATTCCCCCCTGTCATCCTGATCTCCTGCCCCTCGGTAATCCACTGGACATAGGGTTAGGGCACGTTGTCAAAGGAAGTCAGGGAAGTGCAGTTCCAATTCTTCCAACAGTAGCTTCACGGACCCTTGTCAGACAACTTGTTTTGCATCTGATCATTTAGCGGTGGTTTGGTG